AACCAGGTAAAGGTTGTCTGTGTCTGGATGGAACCTGATTCAGGGATTCAGAGAACCAAAAAAAAAAAGGAATACGCCGCCCAATATATGAAATTTTTCTAGATAACCGAATTGATCTGGAAACTAGATTTGATCATTTGATCTGGAAACTAGATCTCAAAGATGCATATTGATAGTTCCATAAATAATAGTTCGAAAGCTCACACAGCCTTTACCATACCGGGGCGTCCGCTACATCAGTGATGCCGTTCAGTCTTTGTATGGCTCCCCAAGATTTTCGATTTGCTAATTATGACTACACTGCAACTAGTTCACTTTGGGGCATCTAAACTTCCCTTGCAATTCATCTTTTTTTTAAATAAATAAAAACTTGACTGAGAAGAAATCCACCATCCCGCCAAATCCAAAGAAATCCCAAAGAAATTGAACCTGTGCGGACTCTATCTTTTTTGAATATATTTTATTGAAAGGACTCCAAAGTAAGCAGCCATATTCTAAAGTAGGTCGAACCAGGCTGATAAATAAGCGTTTTTTCACATAAGGATCGAATTTCTTTGACCATCGTCTTATAAATCCTAGTAAAGACTTTGCTTTATTAACACAAGACTCTATATGTAAATTAAAACGTAATTTATTGTCAAATATGACACCAAGATCAAGAAACGAGTCAACATTATCCAATTTGTAAGAACCTATGAAATAGTTGTAGTTCATATACTGAGATCTATACAAGGACAAATTTTTACATTTTTTTAAATTTAATTACATTCCATTTGCAAGAGAAGACAAGTCCTGTTGCAGATTAAGTTATTCGTTGTGAGAATTAAGAGTGCAGAAAAGTTTAACATCGTCAGCAAACATTAATATTTTGGAGTAGCGAATAATAGATGAAAGGTCATTTAAATAAAGTACAAAAAGTAGTGGACCTAAATGGCTACCCTAAGGAACACCAGAAAATACTGTAATATTTTTAGATAGAGTATTATTAAAAGATACCTTTTGGGTACGGTCATGCAAATAAGACGATATCCATTTTAGGAGAATTGTAGAGAAACCCATTAAGTCAAGTATATATACTAACAAATTATGCACCACCGTATCGAAAGCTTTACTGAAATCAGTATATATAATATCAGTTTGGGGATTAATTGAGAATCCAGTGTGGACATTAGAGACCAGTTTTAATAAATTTGTCAAAGATGATCTTCCTTTAACAAAACCATGCTGGTGAGGTTATACTATAGATGTAACGAAATGAGTTATTCGTTGTGTAACCAAACGTTCAAAAAGTTTGAGAATTGCACTTAGTTTTGAAATGCCCCTATAATTTTCAATAACACATCTGCTGTCAGCTTTATAATAAATAAAATAAATGGAATAATAAAGCTCAAACGCTAAACGAAAGGAAAATACCCTAGGGTTAACGAAGTATTAAAAATACTTCTTAGAGGAAGATATAGTGCATGTGCACATGCTTTTAAAATGAAAGACGGTACACCATCTGGACCCGGTGAATTGGAACATTTCAATGAAAGTAGACCATTCAACACTTCATCTGATGTGAGAATAATACGAGAAAACTGATTAAGTTTATTAATACTATAAGAGTATTTTATACCCTTAGTGGAATGTCTGGAATACGTACATTGAAAAAAATCTGCAAACATGCTTTTTCCTTAGGTTCACATGATTCTCTATTACCCAATCGCATACTACTGGGAAATTCACGGACTTTTCTTTTTGAATTAACGAATTTATAAAAGTTCTTAGGATTTTTATAGAAGCTGTTTCTCACCTTGACTAGGTACTCAGGTTAACATTTAGAATTTTCAGTGTTGTATAAACTTCTAGCTTTTTTATAATTAGTAAAGTTTATGGTAGATTGATTTTTTTAAATTTTTTAAATAACATGCTTTTTATGTTACGTAAGCGCCTAAGTTGTGGGGTAAACCAAATTGGACCCATATCACAATGCATTGTTAATTATTTTATGAAAGCTTTAAACACGAAAATCCAAATTACCTTCAAAACACCAATTTATATTGGATAATGTAGAACGCAACAGATCAACGTTAGTCTTGCCAAAGTTTAACTTACGCGACTTATTTTGAGATGTAGTATGTACTGTTTTAATGTTACTAAGTTGAATGACTACCAAAAGAGTAGGATGATACACATCATCTGGCTCTGAGAAAGGAGGGCTTCCGCACACAGAAGTAGTTAAGGATGAAGAAAAAATTAAATATTTTACCTTTCGCGTTATAGATAAAATTTATTTCATAAAGACATTGCTCAAATATGATTTCCCAAAAAGATGACATCTCAGTAGAAAGTTCTGTAGAAGATACTGGTACATAATCTACAATATTTTCTCCTGGGACCCATACTAGATTAGGCAGATGAAATCCCCCAGACAAATCATTTCCGCGTTGGAGGAATGATATAATTAAATCTCTTCTATTAAGGCTGAATGAGTAAGATAAATATCAACGTCTGAATTTGGAGGAATATATGAACAAGTTATAATAAAATTACAATTAACTATTTTAACTTAACACAAACAAATTCATTCATTCACATACAAAATTTTTTGTCGTAGCTGTTGTACCCATTACATGATATCGGTCGAAAATATATATAATGCCAATAGAAGAGGAACCAAAGATTACAATATATGAAATGATTGTAAGTATGTAAGATTTACAAAATATGCAAAGAGAATTTTGGTTTTATTCAATTCTTGGATTCTCGGAGCAAAGATATTGTTGTCATAGGAGATTAATAACTCCTGGGGAAAATATCCCCATAAAAACAAAAACCAAGAACACTGATGAGGCTTGGTGCCTCTTCTGAAACCTTGGTGTTCTCTGTCCTACGCCTTGGTAAACATTAACATTAACATTAACATATGCAACAACGACATTTGGTATTCAGCTGCAATATGCCCATAATCTCTTTCATCATCCGTATATCGGTACGTTTGAATATTTGTAATTTTGATGACTTCAACCACATATTTTAACAGACATTTTTTAAATTTGGTATTTATAACTCGCATTATAACAGGAAATAGGTACCATCGACTTTACGGAAGTGAACCCCTTTTACCAACCGATTTCACAGACAAAAACCAAATACCTTGCAATATGGTCAAACAAACAAATGTAATTAGAACTTTCAAAGATCTTAAAATAGGACTTTGCCGCAATCTATAATTCAACTTTTACAGTTGGTGTTTTCTCCAGTTATAAATAACAAGGTCAACAACGCGGACCGAGTTAGCTAGTATTGAATGTGTAAAAGTTACAATATTAGAGTCATAAAGCGAAGCAAATAAGATTCACTGATGCCCCTTTTTCGACCATGCTAAACTTACATTAGAAGATCCACAGGGGAGAAACACCTGAGACACGTCGGTTATTAATACCCTTATCAGCCATCATCGACACCAAATATGTCTGCTGAACTGCTTAACCAACGGCGGAACGCGTCACATAGTGGTGAGTGTGCGACAGTGTCTATTTGGCTTTTTTTCACTGCAAATTTCAGATCATTAAGCTAGTCTTGAAAGAGAAATAAACGATTAAATCATAAACATATGATCTTCGCCTTAGCAAGACAAAAGATCCTTCTATTGTTAGATCCTTGAAAGTCCAAAAAGGGGATTTTAAACAGCAGAAATAAAGTAAGGCTGATCAACAAGTCGATTAACAACAATTGAAAATAAATACATAAAACAAAATTCAAAATGTCGAAATCAAAACAAAAATTATCGATACATTTTATTTTCGTTTAATTTGGTCAATTTAAAAATAATTGAGAGGTGAGAGGACATATGAACTTACGATAATCATGACTTACGATAATTTTTATACCCTACACCATACATAGTATGGAGGGTATATTAAGTTCGTCATTCCGTTTGTAACTCATCAAAATAATAATTTTAGACCCAACAAAGTATATATATTCTTGATCAGCGTAAAATTCTAAGACGATTTAGCTCTGTCCGTCCGTCTGTTGTAATCACGCTACAGTCTAAACGAATTAAGATAGGAAGCTAAAATTGTGCACAGATCTTTCTTTTGTCTGTAGGCAGGTCAAGTTCGAAGATGGTATATATCGGTCCACGCATTCGTACAGCCCCCATATAACTGTAATCCCCGATATTCGGTATTTTGATGATTTTAGCCACATATTTCAATGGAATTGTCTGAAATTCCACATAAGGAGTTCCTTGTGGGTATTTTACCACCTGCAAGAGAATTGTCTATAGTGGTCCACCATATCGTATAACCCCCATATAACGGTACCCCCCGATATTCGGTATTTTGATGATTTTAGCCACATATTTCAATGGAATTGTCTGAAATTCCACATAAGAAGTTCCTTGTGGGTATTTTACCCCCTGCAAGAGAATTGTCTATAGTGATCCACCATATCGTATAACCCCCATATAACAGTACCTCCGATATTCGGTATTTTGATGATTTTAACCACATTTCTCAATGGAATTGTCTGAAATTCCACACAAAAAGTTCATTGTGAGTACTTTACCCCCAGACGTAGATTTGTCTGTATAGGTCCGCAATTATGTATATCACCCCAATATATCGGCACCTTACGATATTCGGTATTTTTAAGATTTTTTACAGAATTTTTAATGGATTTAATTTTTTTAAAAATTTCCTATTTCGTTCCAAATGGTGGAGGGTATTCAAAGATCCGACCGGCCGAACTTACTGCTTTTTTACTTGATAACTATTCTTTTGACAAATATTATGTGAACGCTTCGTATATAATTTGTTTTATCGATTTTTGTCGTATCTGCCAATTCTGATCGAGCTGCTATTTCCATATTTTAATTAACGAATTTAAGGGAATTCAGAGTTATTTAATCTATATAAGTTTATCTTATTTGTAAATATATGTAACCATCTTTATTGTAGATGATTTAGTACTCATTTAATTTTGGGTTGTGTGTTTACATACTCTTGCAGATACATAAAAGACAACACATCATATCCTTTAATAGTTTCTGGGCCGAGTGGATGTGGAAAGAGTGTGTTTATATCCAAAATTGTCGAAAATATTCATAGATGGAAGCCAGATATAAATTTAATTCTAAGGTAAGACTTACTACACATTGACAATGATAAAGGAGTAACTTTGTTCTTCTAGATATGCTAACTTGACAGCTCGCTCCTCAGACTTGGTGTCCACGCTGGGTTCTATTGCCTGTCAAATGTACGTACTGGCTAATGGGCATCCAATTAGAATGGAACATGTACGTATTCTGCATAAAAATTTAATTTAAAGACTAATCACCGACATAATTTATTTCAGACATTAGAAAGCTACTCAAAAATAATACATGATACATCATCGCAAAATAAATGTATGTTTGTTATCATAATTGATTCGGTAGATGATATTATGAATGAGACTAATTTGAGCTGGCTTCCAATAAAACTTAGTTCTACGTGCAAAATAATTCTAACTTTAACCGAGAACAACAATGAGAAGAACTCAACTCTGGATAAATTGAGTGAGGCTGGAATTCCGCACAAATGCTTCGTCAAAATGAAACAATTCAGTTCACGCCAGTGGCAAGATATTTTAAGCTCAGGAGGAGGTGAATTTTATGCCGCTAATGGAGCGATAAAAATGCCCAATGAATGGAAAATGTTGCATGGAAAAACTCCTTTTCATGCGAAGTCTCTATGGTGGCTTGCTTGGCTTGGTCATACATCAGTTACTATAGTAAACATTGCGGAAATGTTAGACAAGCTTTTACAAGTCATCGAATCTAAATTTTCGAATGATTATGCTGAGATATTAATGCTCATGATATCACTGTCTCAGTGGGGCATCAGAGAGACAGATTGTGTAGACATTTTTCAGAGAGCAACACAAATGGACGCGCATGCAGCTTTTCGGATATGGTCAAAGTTCTGTTGGCTATTGGGTCCCATGCTCTTAAATGTTCGAAATATTCGAATAGCAGACAAATCGCTTCGCAACGCAATTATTCACAAGTACAAACACAAGCACGCACATGTTCATCAAATCATTCGCGAGTTTTTCGACAGACAGGAAAATTTCTTTACTAATTCAAATGATATTACTCCAATGTAAGTTAATTGCCAATCCTTACTTTATAACCAATACTATAGTCGTAGCAGTGCATTTTATCGATATCATACATTCAAATTCATATATACTTTCTTTAGAATTAAAAAGTATATGATAATTATGATGGACATTTGATTCTAATTTTCTTAAGGTAATGTTTTTATTTAAGTTGTATTCTATTCTAACTTATCCTAATCGAAGCCACACAATAAATCATACCTATTCTAAGACTGAATGCTGAAAATAGCAAGTGCTGATTCTCAGCGAACCTAACTTTCCGAGTTCGAGTCGAATCGATGTTTGGTTTGTCCTCTGATCGCAAGTTATATGGTATGGTTGAGATGATCTGAAAACGAACCGAAGTCGTACCGAACATGGGCATTCATATAAAACTTGAAAGGGAAAGAAACAACTACAGCACTCGGATGCAATAAAATCAGTGATAAATCTGTTATATTGGATTAGGCAATTAGGCATTATACTTATTCTTTATGATTATATTTTTATACAAAATGTTTGTGCAATCCAGTTTTTATAAAGGTAAATTTTTTCGATATCATAAAGGAAAATCGGAAATTGTAGTAAAATTGTTTACATTCATACAGTTCTGGAACAGAGCAATTGATATAAACGAGAAAATACATTGGTCAAAAATAAATGGAAATAAGAGTTGTCGAGCAGGTCTCGGAAGCAACATGGTGCGGATATCCCTCAAATTTCTGTCTGATTTTAGAAGAAAGGAAATTCTGACGTTTTTGTTTTGAAGATTAAAATGGATTGATTCCTTTTTCATTAAATTCCAAAGCAAATTTACCTTACGGTAAAGGAAATATTTGACCCACAAATACCATTTTTTAGACATATTCTTGTGAAAATGGCAAAAGTCATAAAAATACCGAATATCGGGAGGTACCGCTATATGGGGCTATACAAAAACATAGACCTACACATATAAAGTTTCGCCACCCAAGCTGGAACCCATTATGACCAACAAATACCAATTCTTAGACAAATCCATGAAAAATGTGGCAAAAACCATCAAAATGCCAAATATCGGGAGGTATCGTTATATGGGGACTATACCAAAGTGTGGACCTATATATACATATACAATATATATACATACAATGTTTCGCCACACTAACTAGGAAACATTATGACCTACAAATACCAATTTTCAGACAAATCCGTGAAAAAAAATTTCATCAGTTTCAAGTTTGTCAATTGTATAATAACGTTATCAAATGAGCGTAAAATACGTTAGCATTGGTAATTTTAGGTAATCATATTTAGTTTAAATATGTATTTAAATGGTGTAATTTATTTATGATTTATGCTGTAATTTATTTATGATTCCCTTGATCTAAGCTTGTGAATCTTCTTTTGATCTTGAGTGACTATAGTGATATCATTCGATTTTTCAACAAAGTTTTGCCTGTTTTCCAAAAACGATTTCACCAGCCCCAACATCTTCCGAGTGTTCTCTTAAGTTGTTACAATTCTGTATTCTCGTCTTATCAACATTTTGTGCATGCACTTGTATTTCTGGGTATAGATTATCTATGAGAGTATTTAGTTTGCCTAGACAATCGTATTCGTTTGAGAAGTTTAACGATATCATGAATTTATAGGGTCATCCAATATATGTATGTAATTTTGATAGAAGAAACAAGTAAACCAGTACAGAAAGTCTTAAAGTAGGGCGGGGCCGACTTTATGATACCCTACACCACTTTGCTAATTTAGAAGATCTCCGCATAACAATTAAAAGTTTTTATGGGAGTATTCAATCATACATGCTATAATTATAATTACAATTTAAAGTTCAAAGGACTAAATATGCCGAGGCATTTGTATCTTTTAAATTCGGAATTGTATCGCCCATTTGGTGCACAATTAATTTGAAATCGGAAAAAGATATATTTAGAAGCTATATCCAAATCTGAACCGATCTCGATAAAATTTAGCAAATGTATTTCTGAGCTGCATTTCATATATTTCCCCAAATATTGTTGTTACAGAGTGCATATTACGGCTGCGGAGGGCAAAAATAACAAATCGGATGAACAATATATATGGGAGCTATAGCTATATCTGAACCGATTTCGATCAAATTTGGCATACTTATTCCCAGGCCTAATATGGGTGCATATGCAAAATTCCATACAATTCAGGCTGATATTACACGTTTGGTGCACAATAAAAGGCAAATCGGACGAAGATATATATGGGAGCTATATCTAAATTTTGACCGATTATTTTCAATTTCAATAAGGTTCGTCCTTGGACTAAACAAATGATATGTGCAAAATTTCATCTGGATCGGGCAATAAATGCGACGTGTACTTTGTTTACAAAAATACATAGAGAGACGGACAGACGGACGGACGGACGGACGGACATGCATAAATCGACTCAGAATGTGATTCTATGCAGATCATCAAAAGGAACTTTTTGCCTGTTACAAGCAAATGCACAAAGATATAATACCCTGACCACCTTGTGGTGTAGGGTATAAAAAGTAGTAAGTTCGGCCGGACCGAACTTTGAATACCCTCCACCATTTGGAACGAATTAGAAATTTTTCAAAAAATAAAATCCATTAAAAATTCTGTTAAAATATTTAAAATATCTAATATCGGAAGGTGCCGATATTTGGGGGATATACTATATTGTGGACCTATATAGACAATTACCTTTCAGGGGTTAAAGTGCTCACAACGAACCCCTTGTGTGGATTTTCAGACAATAACATAGGCAATTATGGCTAAAATATCAAAATACCGAATATTGGGGGTACCGTTATATGGGGACTATACGATTTCGTGGACCTATATAGATAATTATTTTCCAAAGGATAAAGTACCCACAAGAAAATTCTTGTGTGGATTTTCAGACCATTCCATTAGAAAATGTGGCTAAAATCATCAAAATACGGAATATCGGGGGGTACCGTTATGTGGGGGCCATACGATATCGTGGACTTATATAGATAATTCTCTTCCAAGGGATAATTTACCCACAAGGAACTCCTTGTATGGCTTATCAAACAATTCCGTTGAAAAATGTGGCTAAAATCATCAAAATACCGAATATCGGGGGGTACCGTTATATGGGGGCTATACGATATTGTGGACCTATATAGATAATTCTCTTCCAAGGCATAAAGTACCTACGAGGAACTCCTTGTGTGGATTATCAGACAATTCCGTTGAAAAATGTGGCTAAAATCATCACAATACCGAATATCAGATGGTACCGTTATATGGGGACTATGCGATATCGTGCACCTATATAGATAATTCTCTTCCAAGGGATAAAGTACGCACAAGGGACTTCTTTTGTGGATTATCAGACCATTCCATTAGAAAATGTGGCTAAAATCAGCAAAATACCGAATATCGGGGGGTACCGTTATATGGGGGCTATGCGATATCGTGGACCGATATATCCCATCTTCGAACTTGACCTGCCTGCTAAAATCATCACAATACCGAATATCAGATGGTACCGTTATATGGGGACTATACGATTTCGTGGACCTATATAGATAATTCTCTTCCAAAGGATAAAGTACCCACAAGGAAATTCTTGTGTGGATTTTCAGACCATTCCATTAGAAAATGTGGCTAAAATCATCCAAATACGGAATATCGGGGGGGGGGGTACCGTTATATGGGGGCTATACGATATCGTGGACTTATATAGATAATTCTCTTCCAAGGGATAATTTACCCACAAGGAACTCCCTGTGTGGCTTATCATACAATTCCGTTGAAAAATGTGGCTAAAATTATCAAAATACCGAATATCAGGGGGTACCGTTATATGGGGGCTATACGATATTGTGGACCTATATAGATAATTCTCTTCCAAGGCATAAAGTACCTACAAGGAACTCCTTGTGTGGATTATCAGACAATTCCGTTAAAAAATGTGGCTAAAATCATCACAATACCGAATATCAGATGGTACCGTTATATGGGGGATATACGATATCGTGGACTTATATAGATAATTCTCTTCCAAGGGATAATTTACCCACAAGGAACTCCTTGTGTGGATTTTCAGACCATTCCATTAGAAAATGTGGCTAAAATCATCAAAATACCGAATATCGGGGGTACCGTTATATGGGGGCTATGCGATATCGTGGACCGATATAGCCCATCTTCGAACTTGACCTGCCTGCAGACAAAAGTGGGATCTGTGCAAAATTTTAGCTTCCTATCTTAATTCGTTTAGACGTTTACAACAGACGGACGGACATGGCTAAATCGCCTTAGAATTTTACGCCGATCAAGAATATATATACTTTGTTGGGTCTAAAATGATTATTTCGATGAGTTACAAACGGAATGACGAACTTAATATACCCTCCATACTATGTATGGTGGAGGGTATAAAAAATAGCGTCATTTTAACTTAGATTTCTCTAAGAATTCCTTCATGCCCTCGTGAAAGTGTTCGTTTATTTCATTTGGATAAAACTAATCGGTATATTTCCGCTATTGTCGAATATAATATAAGAATATAGCATTTCTCGCAATTACTCAAGGTTTTTTACTTTTTATTCATATTACAAAAATAAGAAAATTATCCAGAGTTATGGATTGTACAAATCAAAAAATATCGTTGTTTGCAAAACTGACCGCCTATATATTGGAGAAAAAGTTTTAACTTTGCTTATATGATCCCTCAAGATATTATGCATAACCCTCTATAAAGCACTTGGAGCGTTTTTAACCCAAAAGTCATTTTAGTATTTTCTTAGTGTCTACCTTCTACCATTTATGCGGTTTTCCGGATGTGCGAAGGGTCCATTTCAATCCGTTGAAATCCGCAGGTCAAAGTGGTTTATTCAATATTTCATTTATAATTTGTATTAGCTGACCCGTTCCGCGTTGCTTAGTTAGTTTTAGTTATTTTTTTTAATTATACGATGCTTCAGTTTGAAGGAGATATACTTTGTTAAAAATGATGGCTTGCAACTGTAAAC